GAGTCTGGTTTCTAGTACAAGTGAATCATAATTATATTTCAGAATAAGTAATTAATAAAGTTTAAGTGGTGGTGGTAACGTCTCTAACTGTGAAGCTGGGTGACACTGAATCGAATCCGTCAGAGAGCACCAGTTCCCTTAAGATTACAGGTACAAATTGCTGACGAATGCCAAGTAATACGAAACTCGTGTCTAGGGTTTCCTATTGACTACCTTCAATCACCATCCAATTATCCACAATTTTTCAGACAAATCAATATCTAAATTCATTGATTCTATGCTGTTTTAATGGATTTGATTTATTCTTCTTAAATTTATTTTCTTATTGCTGTTTTTCTGTTAGGGTTTTTCTCTTTTTTTTCCCTTTTTCTTTTTTCTTGTTGTATGATTTATCGATTTATTTTTGGATTGAAAAATCAGCGAGTTAGTTTTCTAATGGATGGGGTTACTAACTCCATACCCAACCCTCCTCTTTTATCCGGGTTTGGTCCCGGTAGTAACCCTAGATTTTTTCAAAATTTTAATTGATATCTCCCTATAGATTTGGAAAAAAAGATCAAATCCATGGATTCTAGACATAGTTATGAAAAGATCCAATCTTATTGATTTAACCTTGAACGAGAACATAAATGGGGACAATCAAATAGATTAGGAGATAAGATTATAGAATCCTTTAGTAAAATCTGTGAATTATATAGTAAACGCCCGATTTGCATAGTGTCATTCAATTCTTTCGTTTCCATACCAACCATTGTTTGTCCTCATTCTTTTTTCTTCAATCTTCTTAACCTTATGCCATCAGGTATTTCACTTTCGACTGATGATATATACTACTTATATCTGTCGACATCAGTAGCACACATCACATTATTATTATCATTTGTTTAGTTTGGTGTAGATTTAGATAACAAGAAGACTAGAGGAAAGTAAACTACGACATAATTTCAATCTATGTGATTGTTAACTCTTAAGCTGGTCTATATCAAGAAGTTTAGACTTGTTAGTTAGGACTCGTTCGATAACAGAAATATATATTCTCGGAAATATTGGGTAATACAACTTGAAATCGGTTGTTGAGTTATAGTTGGATTCAGTATTCATCCTGCATCTAACTTTTTAATCTAGTTTTATATCATACTCTTGGTTCTTTGATCCCATTCGTTTCCGTTTAAACTATCAGTCAGTCAGTCAGTCAGTCAGTCAGTCAGTTGAGTGTAACGTAGGACAAGGCACATATATGCATCGGTCCAAGTTGTCATACCTCATTAGCACAACAAGATAAACACCGAATTCATAGAAGTAGTTAATGCAGTGATAGTAATATATAAAGAAAAGTTTGCATATAAGGACATAGTACAGGAAGAAAGAATTAGTTCGTAGAAAGAAAGATATGAAGCGATTTTAATCTCTTAGTTTAAAGGAAGGCAGAGAGTGTATGCAAGTACGCCATCGTGATAGATTCTGAACCATGTCACTCATAGTCTCCAATGATTGGCTACGATAGTCACGTGGACTCCAACCAAGTAGTCTGCATCTACCAACTATATTTCGTATTTGAACTCAACTAAAATATATTTCATTATTCTTTCTACTTTATTTTCATCTTTTTGGTAATACCTGTTTCACTCCAACAATCTTTGAACTTGCCATAGTTTCTCAATTAGACTTTAGGAATCAGATCTCTAAATTAGTTACAGGATGGTATATGATCGTTTGTTTGTATAGGGGCGAATGTTGATATCGCTGTATTTGATAGTATTACATTATTATCAGAAGGGGTTTTCTGGAGATTTTTTAAGAACTTCACTGATTGAAATCATGAGTCATTTGAAGCTAGAACACCATGGAAAACCTGGAAGCGCTGGCCAACCGTTTCGTCCTAGTATGGAACCCCTCAACAGTGCGCATCCACGATCCCGCACCCCACGAGATTCGAAACCAGCACCTATCAGTCTCATGCGCGAGCACTTAACAATTAGACCATTGAGCTGGCCGGCATCCAACGGTGTTAATGTCTAACTTCAACTAATCCACGAAGTTGTGCCACCGTACACCATTGTCTTCAGTGAGCTGATATCTCACAACAGACCTGGTTGAACTCCACTGGTAACGGCTTCTCACTAGAACTGCAGGAGTATCTGTTGAATTGAGTCACTAGTGAGCAGATGATTATTATCAGAATGGGTTTTGTGGAGATTTTTTAGAAATTTCACTGATTGAAATCATGAGTCAATTGAAGCTAGACCACCATGGAAAACTTGGAAGCACTGGAAGGCCGTTTCGTCTTCGTATTACATTATTGACTACATTTAGTTTGATAACCATTGAAAGTTTAGTTATTATTAGAATGTTTATTACTAAAGAATCTCATACTAGAACGAAACTGTTATTCATCACTTGTCTGTTTCTAATGTTTCTCTAGCCAAAATCAGCTCGTAACACAAGTTACCTAATTTTTTGGACTGGAGATTTTGTAATCTTACACACACATATATATATATATATATATATATGTACATATACCATGGGATTGGATTCAGTCACGCTCAAACGTGTGTATGTCTATGTATTAGTGAAGAGAAAACAATAGGGAAAAATACTATAACGTTTTGTCTGTTACAAGTATTAAACTAAAGTTTTCATCCAAAGGTAAATTTGGGGTGGGTGTGGGTAGAGGGGGTATGAATTTTCTCGTTTCTAAGTTGGGAAAACCTGTATTGTTATTACACAATTTGCGTGTACAGTATTGAAATCTGTCAGTCAATAGAGGAATGTTATTTAGAGTTAGCCAGGAAACAATATGATTCATTCATGATTATCAGATAAGCAAAATAGCTTTTTGTCAATGAATGATAGAAAGTAATGTAATTACAGAAAAAAAATATGATGGGAAGTTACGGTGACCACAAGTAAGATATTAAGTATAGTTCTATGATATTTCATTGGAAAAACTGTCAACAGTTTGAAGCTAATCCGTCGTCAGTTTCGACAATGACTTACATAATCACAGTTAATATTGGTTGAGTAGTTAAAGGAAACGGTGTAAATAATTGTCAAGATCTTTCTTATCACCTATTGATATCACCTATGGAATTATTAAAAGTTAGGAAGCAGTAGATACTAAACCATCTCATCACTGTACTGATGAGTTGGATGATCATCACGCTACATCAAAACAAATGATTACAGTTGAAATTATACCGCTGAACGTTTACCTAGTAGGTTTAAGAATTATAAGTTAGTTGCGAGACTTTCAAGTCTCAGATTTGACTCCTTATGGGTTCATAGATAGGCGCTGCTCCATAACAACACGTGATAGTTGTCCAGTGGTACTCCAAGTGAAATTGTAATCGATAAAAATCAACTTCTTTCAGAGAGAATATCCAAATGTGAAAAAGAAAGAGATTGAGCAAGTGAATAAGTGAAAGGTAGATCAAAAAAGTCATACCTAATGAAAGTAATGAAATAAACAAACTGATTACTACGACTGGTTAGTAATCAATAGTTTCTACATTACAAGTTGATATCTCACGAAGAACTATTGAACATCCAGAAGTACCCCTAGTCCACCATTGATTAACTACTTAAGTTTCAACACTGTTGACAAAATCGATTACTAGGGCAATTCATCTTAACATCGATTATATTGAATTTCACGACTATTATTGAGTTGAATAGTCCATAGAAACTTCATTAAACTCAAAGATATGCTTCATTCAAATTTAGAATGATTAATTTCTACGTAAAAGGTTAACTGAAAGCCATGAATGTTGTGGGTTCAATCTCTAATCGGACATTAGTTTTAGGGATCTCATACGAGAACAAAGTAACTACTCAGTATTTCCGGGTTTTCATTGCTTGTCTAATTAAATACAATCTGTGATGAGGAACTTTAAATCTAACAATCTCTATCATTGTTATAAGCAGAGTTCATTTAATATTTAAATTCATGGGTCGATTAAAGCTAGGCCAACATGGAAAACCCGGAAGAACTGTATAGACGTTTCATCTTAATATCAGACTCCTCAGTATTGCGCACCAACGATCTCGCTCGCGGGATTCGAAATCAGGACCTTCATTATCGCGCAAGAACACCTAACCTCTAAACCGCTGAGCTAGCATCTGACGGTGTTAATGTCTAACTTTAACCAATCCACGAAATCACTCCACCGTCCACCATTGCCTTTAGTGGGTTGCTGCTGTTAGCACGGTTGAGTTCCACTGATCACGGCTTCTCACTAGAACTCTAGGAAATACCTCATGAAGCTGGCCGGTCGCTCAATATCGTGATTCGTTGGATTTAGACATTAGCAGCGTCAGATGCCAGAGCAGTGTGCTAGAAGTTAATCGTTCGTGCTCGAGATCGAAGGTCGTGTGTTCGGATCCCACAGGCGTGATCATGAATGCACACTTCTGACGAGCCGAATACTAGAATGAAACAGCCATCCAGTGCTTTCGGGTTTTCCCTGGTGATCTGGATTGAATAAATTCGTGAATTCAACTATAAAACTATTTAATTATGATTTAATTAGACCAAGTTGAATGAAAGCCTACGTTATTACTTTCAACTACTTACAAGTAAAATGTATTTAAATGTATCCATTTCTTACCATTACTACTTTACTATAAAACATGGAACTTACTTATTATGTATATATGTTGAATATTGGTCCACCAGGGTGCTTGGTACTTGTGTAGTTACGTCACAGGATTGAGCTATACCATTCCGATTATAGTGTTAAAGCCTATATGGTGTCTAGTTCTCCTATGAAGCAGGATTGAGCTGTACTGCTCGGGTTATAAAATTTAACCTTGGATGGTGTCTGGCTCTCCTGTTAAACGGGATTGAGCTGTACTGTTTGAGTTGTCACGTGAAAGTTTAGATGATATCTGGTTCTCCTGAAAACCAATGTAAACTTACCTTGGCTCACAAGGGTATATTATATAACTATAATGTTGAATAAACAATCGAAATTTATTCCATTTTTTTAATATTACAGAATAATGGAAAAATACCAAAATCAAAGAAACCAAAATTACTTACTAAAGATGAAGCAACAAACGAGGTAGTTACAGTGACAACAAAGGTTATTGAAGGTTAGTAACAATTTGTGAACATTTTGATATCATTATTATTACTATTATTACTATTACATCTGTTATGTAATCTGTCTAAATACGCAATAACTTATGAAGCATTATGTAATCATAAATGAATTATTGGTTGAAAGTAGGTTTTCCTCATGACCCGATAGTATGTACAACATTTTTGAATTAATGACCTTAAAAAAGGGATCATTTCAAGTGACTTCTAATCATAAAGGATTTAATTAGGTTACATGAATATTAAGCAGATGATCTTGCCCTCCTATCGCAATCGCTACACCAAATGCAGGAGAAAACGACCAGTGTAGCAGCAGCCTCAGCAGTAGTAGGTCTCAATATACACAAAGGGAAAAGCAAGATTCTCCGATACAACACAGCATGCACCAATCCAGTCACAATTGACGGAGAAGATTTGGAAGATGTAAAAACCTTTACATATTTGGGCAGCATCATTGATGAACACAGTGGATCTGATGCAGATGTGAAGGTGCGGATCGGAAAAGCAAGAGCAGCATATTTACAACTGAAGAACATCTGGAACTCAAAACAACTTTCAATCAACGCCAAGGTCAGGATTTTCAATACAAATGTCAAGACAGTTCTACTGTATAGGGCAGAACCTGGAGAGCTACGAAAGCGATAATCCAGAAAATACAGGTGTTTATTAACAGTTGTCTACGCAAAATATTTCGGATTCGTTGGCCAGACACTATTAACAACAACGTACTGTGGGAGAGAACAAACCAGATCCCAGCGAAGGAAGAAATCAAGAAGAAGCACTGGAGGTGGATAGGATACACACTAAGGAAAGCACCCAACTGGGTCACAAGACAAGCCCTCACATGGAATCCTCAAGGCCGAAGGAAAAGAGGAAGACCAAGGAACACATTATTCCGAGAAATGGAGGTGATAGGTCTTGGATTTTGGTGCGAAATTCATTCATTCATTTGGTCAAATATCATCTTGATACATTTTAGTTGATGTCAGTTCGTGATGACAAATTGTAAATTTGATTCTTAACTTTAACCATCCACTATGAATTATATTCCTTATTCTTCAAACTACTTTCTAACCATCATTTAGCCCTAGTGATACAATACATGTATGTAATTGTGTGTATATTTGAATGGATTAGTAAAATATGCAATTTACAATGTAGTGAAATAGATCTGATTTTTATATATGTGTTAGCGATATGAGATTTGAACAAACTCAATTTGGACAGATAGGTTAAACCCAGCCTGTCTATTCATTGCGATAGAGTCAGCCAATTACTTTTCTTAATGATTGGGGATATCTTTTCAAATTATTCATTTTCTGAAGAAGAGAAATATCAGATATTCAGTTTTCTACTTATTAGAATGTTTCACTCTGGGACTCGAACTCAGTACCGTTCGCTTGAAATGCGATATCCACTTAGCTATTGAGTCTTGATACCTACTTGCTTATGCAACGGGGTTTATATTCACTTGGTATTGTTTACTTGAATCTTCCCATTGATCTGTTTAGGACTACAATTGATCAGTCTCATATTGGCATATGTACATAGTGTGGGCATCGCCTCAATATTGCCTTCATTCACAAGCATTCTAAGCAAAGATGGATGGTGGCTACCAGTGGAATTCAGGATGTGCCTTTCGTCTTATTTATGACTCGTCAGCTGGACGTGCCGTTCGCTTCAAACTTCATCTCATTATCCAGTTCGAGTCCCAGAGCGAACACTGTAATACAGGTACATCTAGCTGATGAGTCCTAAGTAAGACGAAACGCTCTTTAACCTGGATTCCGCTAATAGCCATCATTCAGTTTTTTCTTATAATATCTCTTTATTTTTATTTAAATTCATGAAGAAATAAATGAATTTAATATGTATGTGACGATAAATTCTTTCTGATCTCAGTGATGAGAAACAGAAGAAGTAACAAAACTCTTGTTCGTATGTTTTCCTTGTCCCTAGTCATCACGAGAAACAAGTGAATAATACTACAGAATTAATCGATGTTCATAAGTACACATAGGTATATAATAATATAAAGGGATGTTATGGAAGCATAATAGGTCGTAAACATTTATGTATGAACATAAATAGTAGCTAGTCGCTGTTAAGAAACTGTACTTATACATATGAAGAAGATTTGTAGCTTAGGTGGATGATTTGAATGACGTTTCGTTCTTTGAGCTAAATGATTCAATCGTGAAGCTTTCATTATTCTTCTGAACGATATCATCAGTACAAACTTTGGCGAGACTATTATTTATGGACGACTTTTGAACGAAATTTAAGTGACTTTGAGAAATATTAGCCAATCAGAAAACAGTCAGCATAGAGTAAAAATATGTTATACAAAACCAAGGAAATAAAGTAGATACACTTCGTTTACATGATTCAAAAACTTGTCAACGCTAAAAAGAGGTTCATAGGTTCTAAAATCTTAATGCATGCAGAAATCATCCATATAGCTACAGAATAGTCGGCCTCTGAAGTCATGATAGAGTCTCAAAAACTCTTTCAGCCTCGAACACATAACTTCGAGATTGTTTATGTGCACTCCAATTGTTGAGTACACAAAATGCCACTTGTGGATAATGACACGATGTACATAATCAAGTCTATGTAGAAGTCTGTACGCTCTCCAATCATCCGTATATATTGTAGTACCTGACTGCAGCCAGTGTTACTGGTTCTTTTATTATCCAGTTCGAAATCATTGTCGTAATTTGCCTTAGTTAAGAATTATATATGGGGTTTTCATCACGAACTGACATTACCTATAACGCCAGAAATCTATTTAGCCAAACAGATGAAAGGCTTTCGCGCTAAAATCCGAGATCTGTTATCTTATACCCGATCGATTCGTCCACAGATTATAGTCTAGCTGTTTTATTTGTCATAGCCGCTCAGTTATTACGTTTTGTACAAAATCTCTTGTGAACCGATCGTTCGTTAGTATTTGGCGCTGTGACCTTGAACTATCTCAAACGCTTCTGATTGACTCGTCCATAAATTAAAGTCTCACCCAAACTTCAAGTAGAACTGAAGTGTTCATAGTGTTCCTCATATATAAGGATGAAAGATCCAAAACCACTCTATCCAGCTCACATGACCACACATGTTTTGAATATTCACAATGTTCAATCTATAATTTTATTACAACATAACTGTATATTCTTACTTCCTTACTTTCGAATAAACATATGACATTCTTTAGAATACAGTACAATATGAATCAATTCCATTGTACAATATGTTATTTTACAATGTATGACGTAAGAGATTACATTTGTTCTACCTAGTTACAAATAAAGTATGATGTAATAGAAAAAAAGAAAACAATATGGTTGTAATGTATACTTTGGGTTTTTTTCGAAAACATACGTTGAATCACTTAAAAACTGATTTTGAATAGTACTACTAACTAAAAAATACTAGTAGTAAGAAGAATTAGAATTAACGTATTGATGATCCGACTGATCATAAAATACAATATGTGACAGATTATTAGAACTTTTTATTGATTAATCAATTACATCATCATCATCATCATCATCATCATCATCATCATCATCATCATCATCATCATCATCATCATCATCATCATCATCATCATCATCATCATCATCATCATCATCATCATCATCATCATCATCATCATCATCATCATCATCATCATCATCATCATCATCATCATCATCATCATCATCATCATCATCATCATCATCATCATCATCATCATCATCATCATCATCATCATCATCATCATCATCATCATCATCATCATCATCATCATCATCATCATCATCATCATCATCATCATCATCATCATCATCATCATCATCATCATCATCATCATCATCATCATCATCATCATCATCATCATCATCATCATCATCATCATCATCATCATCATCATCATCATCATCATCATCATCATCATCATCATCATCATCATCATCATCATCATCATCATCATCATCATCATCATCATCATCATCATCATCATCATCATCATCATCATCATCATCATCATCATCATCATCATCATCATCATCATCATCATCATCATCATCATCATCATCATCATCATCATCATCATCATCATCATCATCATCATCATCATCATCATCATCATCATCATCATCATCATCATCATCATCATCATCATCATCATCATCATCATCATCATCATCATCATCATCATCATCATCATCATCATCATCATCATCATCATCATCATCATCATCATCATCATCATCATCACATCATCATCATCATCATCATCATCATCATCATCATCATCATCATCATCATCATCATCATCATCATCATCATCATCATCATCATCATCATCATCATCATCATCATCATCATCATCATCATCATCATCATCATCATCATCATCATCATCATCATCATCATCATCATCATCATCATCATCATCATCATCATCATCATCATCATCATCATCATCATCATCATCATCATCATCATCATCATCATCATCATCATCATCATCATCATCATCATCATCATCATCATCATCATCATCATCATCATCATCATCATCATCATCATCATCATCATCATCATCATCATCATCATCATCATCATCATCATCATCATCATCATCATCATCATCATCATCATCATCATCATCATCATCATCATCATCATCATCATCATCATCATCATCATCATCATCATCATCATCATCATCATCATCATCATCATCATCATCATCATCATCATCATCATCATCATCATCATCATCATCATCATCATCATCATCATCATCATCATCATCATCATCATCATCATCATCATCATCATCATCATCATCATCATCATCATCATCATCATCATCATCATCATCATCATCATCATCATCATCATCATCATCATCATCATCATCATCATCATCATCATCATCATCATCATCATCATCATCATCATCATCATCATCATCATCATCATCATCATCATCATCATCATC